GCCAACCAGGTGAGTGGCTTAGACATAAGCACCCAGGGAGCTTACATTCCAGGCTTCATGGCAAGGATCTGTAGCCATTGTGGTATAAGTCTTGGTTTATATGAACAACAACAACAACAAGAAAATATGCCAGTAGTCTTAAAACCTGCACAAAGAGTGAGAAAGGTGATTGAGAAGAGGGTAGTGGGCTAGCTGATTGTAATAATGTTAAAATTCGGGAGGGAGTGGGTAAGAAGTGAATGGATGGCAAAGATATTGATATATGGAGTGTGCCTTTAGTTTGGTGAGTGAATGAGAGGCTACCAGTTGTACAGCCAGGTCAATTCTGATTTACAGCAAGAGAAGACATAATTTGCAATGCAAGATTGTAAGACCATTTGAAAATGACACACTAAAGATTTAAAAGGAGGTTTACTCTTGAATATGCAAATATGCCTATAGGATGGGATATTAAACAACAGAAAACATTACAGTACATTCTAGAAGAGAGAAAGCAATTGGGGAATATGTACCTGACTGAACAAAAGCAAGGAACTGGACCTTTAGTGTTGTAGGTGGGAAGTGTTGGTGAGGAGTGGATCTACCTCACCGGATTCCTGAACCATGTATGGTTAAAAGGAATCCGCCTCTACAGGAACCAGTGAGGGGTGTGTGTGTAGGTACATGCATGGGTTTGTGAATGGGTGTGTAAACACTCCTGTGTGTGTGTGTGTGTGTGTGTGTGTGTGTGTGTGTGTGTGTGTGTGAGTGTGATGGGCATGTGAGTCTAAAGCCACAAGTTACCAAATTACTACCTTCTTTACTCAACCACAAGGAGGTAAGGGTCTTATTAGCTAAAGATTTTGAGATAGAAATCTTTCAGACTGACCTCAACAGGAGAGTGAAGACAAGAATGAGCCAGGACACCAAAAATAGGGCGAAAGCAAAACTCTACAATGAACACTGAGACTCTTTCATTACCCCCATCACCCCCACACTTGCAAAAGGCTTGTAGTCAGGTGAACATCATTTACCAAGTATAAAATAAAAATATTCTTTTGGGATAAAAGGAAATACACCTGAATAAATAATCACCATACATTAGCATTGGAAGAGCCCTCGGCAAAAACTCCCAACTTATCATGCTGGGCAGTGAGTCATGCCTATTGATTCACCGTGCCAACACAGACAATACTTTTCACATTGAAAGCAAAATAGAATATCAACCATTATTACATGTGATAAGGGAATAACATGGGGCTTTGGATTTCCTTCTATAGTAGTTTTGCTGTAACTACCTTAAAGCTTCCATTTGGAAGTGTATTTGGTGTTGTGTCTTCAATAGTCCCAAAGAGAAATGGCAGGTATCTATGCTTGCTTTCTGTTGTTGTTGTTGTTGTTGTTGTTGTTATGTTTAAGCCAGCAACACTCTTAAAACAATACAGTAATTGTCAATAGTAATTTAGTAAAATTTTATTTGATACTGGAAAAATTCCAGAAGACACAATATCCCATTACAGGCATTTATTTTGAGGGAATTGATTTAAAAAGAAGTTGTTTTCTAATCACTTAATTAAAGGGATATAATGATGTAGTTGTGATAATGTCTGTTGCTTCTTTTACTAAACCCTCAACAAAGAAAGTAAACCTAGATTATATGTAAGTGAATTTATCTATTTTTAAGATTCATTTATTATATTTTAATTTTATGTCTCTGAGTGTTGGACGGGATGTATGTAGTATGTGCACTATGTGTATACAGTGCCCATGGAGGCCAGAAGAAGACATTTGATCTCCTAGAACTGGAGTTACAGACAATCGTGAACTTCCATGTCTGTGCTGAGGATCAAACCTGAGTTCTCTGCAAGAGCAAAAAATGCTTCTAAGTGCTGAGCCATCTCTCCAGCCCTAGATAGATGCATTCATAGAAATGCAGATGCTTTTAGTAATTTGAATATATTCAAATTGAAGGATGTTTTTTATTCACCCGTTTACCTCATATCATGGCTCAGCAGCATAGTGCACCCCAGATCTGACTTCCTCTCATGGTCATGTGACTGATGGAGCCCTGTGGCTTCCTGCTTCTCTCCAGCATCACAAACGAATATAGTGCATCACTTATCTGGACCCAGAAAAGATCAAAGTGGAAAATTCAACTGTGTTCAACTGCTTTCTACTGCTGTGATAAGCATCATAACCAAAAGCAAAGTGGGGAAGAAAGGGTTTATTTCAGTTTTCAGGTGCTGGTCAGTCTAAAATCAGGGAAGCCAAGGCAGGGACTCAAGGCAAGAGAATATAGATAGCAGTAACCATGGAGAAATGCTGCATACTGGCTTGCTCTTAGGCTCACATTCAGCTACCTTTTCTCTTTCAGTTCAAGCCAATCTGCTGAAGGATGGCACCATCCACGGGTGAACCTTCCTGTATAAATTAGTAATTAAGAAAATGTCCCATAGACTTGCTCACAGATTAATGGGATGGAAGCAATTCCTCATCTGATGTTCCATTTTCCCAGATATAACAAGTTAACAACCAATATTAGTAAACAAACCAGTTTGTCCCAAAGAACTACAGTTTTGAACCATGAATTTTAAATCATTATAACTAGGCTCAAATATATCTTCATTAAGTAAAAGATGAACCATTGTAGTCAGCACATTTTTGCCAATGAGAAATGAATTTTCTTGTTTCTTGGCATGGAAATCCACGCTTCAGGATTTGATGGACTCTTGGAAAGCATTTCTTCATCCTGTTGATTGTGGAAGTGTTTTTCTTGCAAAAGTTGCTGAAATGCTTGAAGAAATAGCAGTTGGTTGGCAAGAGGTCAGGTGAATATCACAGATGAGGCAGAACTTGATAGTGCAATTTGTTGAACTTTGAAAATGTTGACTGTGCAATGTGCAGTCAAGCATAGTTTTGAATTGTGCCCTTTCTGATGAGATATGGTGGCTGCAAACATTGCTGATTTTGGCGCCCGTCATCAGTTTGTTGAGCATACTTCTCATAGGTAACAATTTCTCTAGAATTCAAAAGTTTTAGTGGATGAAACTGGAGAAGACTACCAGTGACTATAACATATTTTTTTTTTTTTTTTTATTTACATTTTTTTTTTTTTTTTTTGGTGCCGTTTGGCTTTGGAAAGTGCTTTGGTGCTCTTCACAAAGCATCATCACTGGTTGTTTTATACAATCTTCTTTTGGTTCCACATCACAGTCTGATTGAGAAATGGGTATTTGTTGTTGTTGTTGTGTAGACTAGTGCAAGATGACAGTTCAAGGGGACTTTTAAATCACTACACATCTATTTATTGAGCTCTTCTGCCTTTCCAATTTGATCAAATGTTGAGAGAACACTGAATTAGATCCACTTTGCATTCTTTGTTAACTTCTCATGTACTTGTAAGAGCAGCTTAGAATGCTTGCTGTCAACTGGTTTTCACCAACTCCTGATATCTCTTCACTAAGCTCCTCATCCTCAAGGCTCATCTTTTCTTGCAAAACTTCTCGTACCACTGTGCTAGTGCCAAATGCATTGCTTACATTGCAAATGTAAGTTGTCATCACAGCTTTATGACCCATTTTGAATATGAAAAAAAATCACCTGCATTTCCTTTTTGTCTAATATTATTCCCAAACTATAAAATAGACAGGGAATAAGGATCATTAGCAAAAAAAAGTAAAGTAGGAAGTGCACATTAAATGATATAGAACATATTGTATATATTTAAAAATATATTCACATAATAGATAATATTTTAGCAATATAAGAGTTTCAATTAGTTTCTTACCAACCTATATTACTGCTTCCCCTTAATGTCTATCACCTTACCACTATCATGAAGTCAAAACTCTGTCAGGCTGGCAGCTTAGTATGTCTGTCTCTAGATGCACACATACATATATATGTGTACATATAAATAGATCTATAGGTACATATGTGAACATTCTATTTAACCAAGTAAGTAAATTAAAACCTTAAGCAAGCACATCTTTTTCATATTTTCTTTGTAAATTCCCTACCACATGTGATTCTGTGTCTAACACAAAGAAAAAAAGGAAAGCTTCAGTGTTCTCCATAACAGTCTGGTTGTCAGTGTCTCAATTATCACTTCTGGCAGAGCTGAGAATAATATTCAAAGTTAGTAGTTACAAATTAAGTGCATAGTGCTTTATTTATGTATGACAACTTCAAGTTTGTTTGTCTTTAAGGGACATGATTTCTTACTTGAAAACAAAAGAAAAGAAAAGCAGTATTACCATAGTGCAGAATTCTCACATCCAATGAAAAGAAATGAACATGTTAGTCATTGTCTAATCAAAATTAAACTCAGAATATGTGGATATGTATACTGTGAATTTTTTGTTTCCTTGTGTTTTTTTTACCAAGACCAGTATTTTGAACTTGAGATTGAGGTAAAAGGATATTGGGGACATGTTTTGGCTTCTACCATCTAGAAAGATTAATTTTTCTAAGGGAATGAAAATAAAGCTAAATCTCATTTAATTTAGTGTCATTATAACTTACCAGGAAATCAATATTAGGAACTCATCTTCAAGAGTTGAATATGGTAAAATTTCTTCAAAAAAATATTCATTGGTTTATAATCAATGTTTTTTAGAATTATCTCTATTCTTCTCAACCAAAAACCACCAAGGAAGACTACTGTCATTTTGATAAATCACTGCTGTTCATCCAAATGCAGTGAATTCTGAGCTTGTATGTTAGACATCACTTTAGATAAGAGAGCAACATATTACCGTAGCCAACCCACTCATTTACATATCCCAATCTTTAACGACACCATATGACTACAAAAAAAGGAGAAAATGAAAATAAAAATTACATAGGAATGCCGACGTGACTGCTTCTATATTTCTAACACCTAAAAAAAATGAATAATGAATTATAAACTCATTGAGAGTAGCTATGACTGAGAGATCACATTTCACAGAGTTTATATTTGGATTTCTTCCCTGGCCACATCAGTCTCCCCACAATAATTGTCTGTTTTCTTCCCATAGCAAGGTATTTCCCAAAGGTCTTCCTGAGGAGTACTCTGTAGTGGTCACGTTTCGGGTACGAAGAAGCACCAAGAAGGAACGGTGGTTTTTATGGCAGATTTTAAACCAGGAGCATATGCCACAGGTAAGATGCCAATTCGTTTGATTAGGTCAGGTGGTTCTTGTGCTGTGTACCCAAATCTGGGAATAGATGTAGTTAGTACTCAAATCCTGTGTTGTTTAGAGGAATCATCTATAGAGAAATGCAAGCATTATAAGTAGGATAGCCTTGATCATATCAGTGATCTGAGAATCTAGTGGATGAGAGGTTTGTGTTTTGTTTTGTCTTAAAGATTTATTTTTTTATTTTTATGTACATGTTTTCCTGTATGTATGTATGTATGTGTGTATGTATGTATACCATGTGCTTACCTGATGAGCAGAGGGGTCATAAGAGAGCTCAGGATCACCAGGAACTGGAGTTATAAACAATTTTGTGCCACCAAGTGGGTGTTGAGAATTAAATCCAGGATTCTGCAAGAGCAGCTGGTGCTCTGAACCACTGAGCCACACCTCCAACCCTGTTTTTATTTTAACTTAAGGATTCATATTTTATCTGAAGACCATGGAACCGCGTTCCTTTAACAGGTGCTTATTGGCTTTGCCCCATTGTTAACTACACTTCCTCTCATCACTAATACCATATATTAGTCTGATACTTACATACTTGTTTTATCAATAAAAGCAAATATGGACCTTGTGCTTTGTGCCAAGAAGGGATAAGAAGAAAACATTTGGGGCTGGGGAGATAGCTCGTTGGGGAAAGCGGTTGTCATGCAAAAATGAGGACTAGAGTTCAGATCCCCACCACCCACATAAATGGCAGGTGGAGGTGGGGGTTCACCTGTAAGTTCAGCATTCACCAGGTGGGAGATGGGATACCCAGAGCAAGCTAGCTAGCAAGACTAGTCAAGTCAGTGAGTGCTGGGTTCAAGGGAGAGGCCTGGCCTCAATACAGAAAGTGGAGGGCACTTGAAAAAGGCACCTCGTGTCAGCTTTTGTCTTCCATTGGGCACATGTGTGCATCATACTTACACACACACACACACACACACACACACACACACACACACTTCACATATAGGAACACATATACCCAAGCATACCACATACACATACCCATGCCAAAAGAAAATAAGAGATTTTTAAAAAGCAGAATTCATGTTCTTATGGAGTAGAAATTCTATAATAGGAGAACTTATATAGCAGTTATATAAGGGGAGGGAATATATATTTATATAGAGAGAGGGAAGTGTGATGGGAGGTATCTGAGCATAGGAAGGAGAGTAGAGAAGCTGGCAGACCTTGTGGAAATGGCAGTAGAGCTGGAGTGGTGATGCAAGCACCCCACAGACCTCAGGATTGCTTGTTAACATCACAC